AGGTGGGACAGGGAGGTGTAGAACACGTGCCCGCACATGCACACATCTATAATACACATGCACACATATGCATACACACATGCACACACTCATGCACACGGCATGCACACATACACATAAGGCTCCTGCACATACAAGCACAAAGCGCACACATGCATGCACACGCACACAGATATACACAGTGAGCACACACATACACACATACACACATACCTGCACAAGCATATGCAACATATACATGTACAGGCCCATAAGCACACATACACACATGTAGATACATGCACATGCACACACACGTGCATATACTTATGTAAAAGCACATGTGAACACAGACACACGCACACGTGCACACACATGCACAGGTCCATGCATACACATACATGTACCCATACATACGCACATGCAAACACATGTGAATACACACATGCACACACAAGCATATGCATGAGCACAAGCACACAGATACGCACGTGCACACACATCTGCACACATGCATGCACACACATACACGCACATCTATGTTGAAGCGTAACTGTTATTAAGTCACTCGGATCCATGCCCTTTAATTTCAAGATAGTTGGCTGGAAGTGTTCCCTGAAATGTATGACACTGGGGAAATCGGGGTCCCCTCTTGGGGTTCTGAATCTCATTAATAAAAGAGTTTAAGAATGGACTCAAATGAAAGCTTGAGGACAATTTTATTAGAGTTTAAAGAAAAAACCAAGGCCAGGCTAGATGTGAATCTGCACAGCTGCCTGGAGGAGGAGGATGAAGGAAAAGGGCCGTGTCATTTCAGTCAACCCTCTGGAGTCAGGGACATGGCAGTCAGGCAGCCATGGTGTTTCGAGGGCTTTAGAGAAAGAGTCAGGAAGCCCAGAGCACCCGAGAAAGCACGCCGAGGCTCTGGCCAGTACCAGAAAGACACAGAAAAGAAGGGAAGAAAGGACTCAGAAAGGTGGGAAGACCCAACAGACCTTCATGGTGGCTCATGGGGACGTCAGGTGTGGAAAGGAAGAGAACGTTATCTCATGAAGAACCAATTAGTCCTCTTACCTCTTTAGCATAGTTTAGGGTCAACCTGCCTTCCTGGGGATGGTCCCGCCTTCCTGGGGATGGTCCCGCCTTCCTGGGGGATGGTCCCGCCTTCCTGGGGGATGGTCCCGCCTTCCTGGGGATGGTCCCGCCTTCCTGAGGGATGGTCCCACCTTCCTGGGGATGGTCCCGCCTTCCTGGGGATGGTCCCGCCTTCCTGGGGGATGGTCCCGCCTTCCTGGGGGATGGTCCCGCCTTCCTGGGGATGGTCCCGCCTTCCTGAGGGATGGTCCCACCTTCCTGGGGATGGTCCCGCCTTCCTGGGGATGGTCCCGCCTTCCTGGGGGATGGTCCTGCCTTCCTGGTGGTCCCTTAACCAGGTCATTGACCTGCCCAACTGGAAGTTAGGTCTCCACTGAGGCTATAGCTTTCATCCCCTTAGCCAGAAGGAACGGGTTTTCTCTTGGTTCACTGCTACAGTGTCAGCATGGATTGTGTTCCCACTTTGTAGACTGGCAGTGACGGCAGAGATGAGTTGGGGTCTTGGGTGGGAGCTAGGGGATTGGTTCACACTGACTGTGGGTGGAAGGGTTTTCTGGGGTCCTACCTGTGTCCCACCCAGGTGGACGTGGACATCGGTAATGGGGAAGATTCACTCCTACCCATGCCGAGGTAGGAAGGAAATAATTCTCCTTGTGATTGAGGATCTTCAGGGAACTTCCTTGTGACAGTTTAGGCACACTTAAGAGGACTTAAGGAAGCATGAAGGCTCTGGATGGTATTTGGAAGGGTGGGGGCGGGGCACATAGAGCCCTGGAAAAGTTCAATTCCTGGGAGATGCAGGGCCAAACTTCCTGTCAACAGGCCTCCTTCCTGGGAAAGGTTTATTTAGCTTACAGATCACAATCCATCAGGGAGGGAAGCAGGGCAGGAACTCCAGGCAGGAACCTGGAGGCAGCCACTGAAGCAGAGGCCATGGAGGAACGCTGCTTACTGGCTTGCTTCCCCTGGCTTGTTCAGCTACCTGATACAGCCCAGGCCCAGGTGCCGAGGGATGACACTGCCCACAGTAGACTGAGACCTCCAGCATCAATCAGCAGTCAAGAAAATGCCCCTCAGACACGCCCACAGGCCAGGCTGATGGAGGAAATTCCTCAGTTGAGACTCTCTCTTCCCCGGTGACTCTCGTTTGTATAAGTGGACAAACACTAACACATTTCTCTAAAGAAGATTTGTAGATGACAGGGCCAACCTGGGGCAAGGTAGGGTGACTGAGGTATCTCCCCAAGATGCCAAGGGAGCTCCCTGTGTGGCCTCTCATCCTAGCCAGCTTTTGTGGCCCAGGTCTTCCTTTGGATGCAGCCTCCCAGCCCCCAGTGGAGGGAACACGGACTCCAATGCTTTGTAGTTCTGGCAACCACTGAAGGTCCCCTCCCAGCTCCCTGGGTCAGAACCTGGTGGTCCGTGCAGCTGGCACACGTGAGAAATATCTGCACTTGGGTGTGAGCCCTTCTCACCTGAGGGAGTCATTGCAGATGTGGCTTCCATCCCCTGCTGCATACCTACCTGCCAGGCATCTCTGAGTACAGGCACATACACGAAGAGGCCCGGAGGGGGCCTGAGCAGCTGGGGCCCGAGGCATAAACAGTGGTCTAAATCATTATACAAATGCTTATCCCAAATCAATTCACTTATTCCAAACAGCCAATGGCATTCAGTTACCAGGCAGAATTATCGTCATGCAACCACATAGCCCACAGCAGAGCTTTGGTCAACAGCAGTCAAAGAAATACCACTGCGGTTCCATAAGATCCCATCACCTAGGGATGCATAGGCGTCTTAGTTTGTGAAACGTACTCTGTGACGATTATGACTTAGTCACCTAGGAATGTGTTAAGTGACTAAGTGACCATTGTCAGTAATTCTACATGTGTGTGCCTTTGTGTCATGCATGTGCAGTGCCTGTGGAGGCCAAAAGAGGGCATCGGATCCCCTAGAACTGGAGTTACAGGTGATTGTGAGCCACCATGTCCCTGGTCCTCTGCAAGAGCAGCCAGTGCTCTGAACAGCTGCGCCAGCTCCAGCCTCTACCGTAGACCTTTTTGCTGGTGGTTTCCTGCGCCCACAGTCCTAGTGGGAACTCTAGCGAGCTGTCAAGACATTCTCTGTGGACTCCAAACACAAACAAATGGCCAGAGATAGGTTCATTTTGAGAACAACCTGAACGCCTCTCCTTCACAAACATTAAGAAATGCAATTCTTAGCTAAGAGGGAGGCATCCTGCTGAGTCCTTTTCCTTCTGGTCAGTCACATCCTGGCTGGACCTGATCTCTGCCCCTCTAAGGTACTGGCTCCGAGCTTTTGAAATGCAAGTGAAATCCTGTTGGTCAGAGCCTTTTCTGGGGGAAGAGTTATTTCTGGTCAGTTTCTGTCTGTCTGCCATGTCAATCCTGCAACTGCCCATGTGTGGAATGTTCTAAAACAGTCGTCCCCCCCCACTCTGTGCCTCCGTGTGTGCGCACTGTCCTGAGAGTTTCTCTTCCTTCAGTCCATATTTTACCTCCGTCACTTCACATTCCACGCATTTTATAGATGTGGGTAAAGCTTCTGGAGAATTCTGTCAAGTGTGGAGGGCGGATGCGGGTTAAATTTTTATAGATTTCTGCCAAACTGTTGTTTAAAGTACTTGTGGTGATAAAGCCTCAGCTGACAGCACGAAGATCCACTATTCTTCTGTGCGTGTGTGTGTGTGTCTGTGTCTGTGTGTCTGTGTGTCTGTGTGTGTCTATGTGTATATGTCTTTGTGTGTCTGTGTGTATTTGTGTACGTATCTGTTTGTGCATTTGTATGTGTGCGTTTCTGCATTTGTGTGTGTTTATGCATGCTCGTGTGTCTGTGTTTGTGTGTCTATCCATGTTTATGTGTTTGCGTGTATTTGTGCATTTATGTGTGTGCATGTTTGTGTGTGTCTCTGTGTTTGAGTGTGTGTTTATATTTCTGTGTGTTTTTGAGTGTTTGTGAGTGTATCTCTGTGTGACTGTGTGTGTTTGTGTGTGTGCATTTATGTGTGATTGCATGTTTGTGTGTTTGTGTATGTCTCTGTGTGCTTGTGTCTGTATGCCTGTGTTTGTGTGGATGTGCACGTGGACACCAGAAGACAACAGTGGCTGTCATCCCTTAGGCACTGTCCACCTTGTTTGATGACACTGGGCTGGCTGTTCAGTGAGATACAGGGATCTACCTGTCTCTGCCTCCCCAGGCCTGGGATTCCAAGTGTGTACCACCACACCTGGTTTTTTAAAAAAAAATGTTTGTGGAGCTGGAAAGATGACTCAGCGGTTAAGGGCACTGACTGCTCTTGCAGAGGACTAGGGTTTGATTCCCAGCACCCACATGGCGGCTACGAACCATCCTTAACTCCAGTTCCAGGGGAATCTGAAGCCCTCTTCTGACCTCCGCAGCATTGCATGACACGGGTGCACTCACATACATGCAGGCAATACACTCACACACATAAAATAAAAATAAATAAAATTTTTAAAAAGGTTTATTATTTTAAATTATGTATGTATGTCTATGTAGGTATGTGCACCTCAGTGCAAGTGTCCACAGAGGCCAGAAGAGGGTGTCAGATCTCTTGGAGTTGGAGTTACAGATGGTTGTGAGTGGCCCCATGTGGGTGCTGAGAACCAAATTCATTCAGTTCCCCTGCAAGGGCACTATGGGCTCTTAGCCACTGAGCCATCACCTCTCCAGCCCTAGCACCTGGCTCTGTTACCTGATTGGGGATCAGACTTGCGTGGCAAGCATTTCATGGGCTGAGCTGTCTCCCCGGCCTCTGTTGACTCTTGCGGGAAGCAAGAGCCTTTTAACTTTGCACCAGAAAGCCCAAGGCATCCCTGAGCCTGGGCTTGCTGGCTGGCGATTCAGATAAATCACTCACAGCAGTTTTCCTCTTCAATTTTCAGGACAGCTGTGCCAGAGTGTTGCTGTTTCGGGGTGGAAATAAGGAATTAAAAAACTACAACAGCCAGACGCCATTTCAGGTAAAGAGAGTTCTCGGACTGCAGGACCCGCCTGCCTGAGCTGACATCTTAGAGTCTCTGCTCAATGTGCTAGACAGTACTCTGTGCTGCATAGCACTGAGGTCCTTGGGTTTACTTGTCCACATGCCCTTGCTTCCTTCAGACCAAACAGTGGGAATAGTGCAGAGATTTGTCTCTGCAGAAGGTTCTAGAAAAGTGACAAAGTGTGGCCACCTTTCAATCCTGCAGCTGCTGCTAAGTGCTGGTTCCACTGCCCATCATCTGAGGGGGTGAGCTTGGTGGGAGGGGCTTGTGGACCTTGGCGCCTTCTACCTTTTCCTCTGTCCCACGGTGGAGGGAGAACAGATCCAATGGACCTTTGCTGTGGCCTTCTGTGGTGGAACATATGACCCAGTTCATAATGTGTAATAAATTAGGCAGAATGCATGGGACATAAAAGTTAACCTCTTAACCATTTTAAAGTATTCAAAGTGTCCAGATCAGTGGCACTGGGGACTTTCAGAGTGTTGGCTGCAACCTCTCTGGCTAAGAACTTTACCATTGCCCCAAAAGGAGGCCCTGTCCCCACTAACCTGCTACCCCCAGCCCCTGGCAGGCACCCATCCATCTGCTTTCTGCCTCTGTGAGGGGCCACATGGTGTGTGAATCTGTAGGTGTGACTTCTTCAACAGAAGGTTTTTATACATATATATGCAGACGAACCATGTAATGTCGTGCTCTGTTGTATATATATATATATATATATGCCTTTGTTTCCTTATGATCCTGAACCTAAACCCTCCCCTTACTTCAGCCTCCTGAGTAGCTGGGAGGGGCTGCAGGTGTGTCCCTCTGCACCAGGCCACCTCCTGCCTTTCCATAGCTGGGGTAATATGCCATTGTGTGCATATGAGGCCTCACTGTTGATGCTTTTGACTAAAAGAGCAGATGTATTGGAGTGTGTGTGTGTGTGTGTGTGTGTGTGTGTGTGTGCATTAGCTAAGTTTTGTATGATAAATTATACAAATGTGTTTTTTTTAATTTATTTTTATTTTATGCATGTGAGTGTATTGCCTACATGTAAGTGCACCATGTGTGTACAGTGCCCATGGAGGCCAGAAGAGGGCGTTGGGTTCCCTGAAACTGGAGTTATGGATGGTTGTTAGCCACTGTATAGGTGCTGGGAACCGAACCTGGGTCCTCTGCAAGAGCAGCCAGTGCTATTAAACAGCTGAGCCGTCTCCCCAGCCCCTAAGTGCATTTTGAGATTATACGGCACACACAGTGCACCTGCTTTAACTGAAAAACGAAGAGACCTTGGTAGCCTCGTCTAGGAGCCACGTTTGTATTGCATCTTGCTGAGCTCAGGCAAGTGTCTGATTTGGATCTGGTCCCCCAGGGGACTCTCCCTGTGCTCACCACAGAACACACTGACTTGCACAGACTCACTGTCTTCAAAATAAATCAGCTCAGTCCAACAGTTGGGCCAGATGCTTAATTAAAGTATCTCCCTGACTCCCCAGGCAGGTCTGGGTTTGAGTCTTGGATCTGATAGTTTGTGAGTGTTCCGTAGTTCCTGTGCTGGGTTGCAGAAGCTGGGCCCGGGCTGCTAAGGGCCTGTGAGGCCTGTGGCTTTCTCTAGGAGAAGTCCCTCCTTCCAGGAATCGGCTGCAACAGCCCATTGGCTTTGAAGTGTGACTGTATCTGCCCATCAGGTTGGCTATAGATCCCTGGGCTTGCTTTAAAGAGACGTGTTGTTTTGTTTGCCTTTAAATACTGTATTTCTTTGGTCTGTTCCAAAAAATTAAAAAGTCAGAGACTGGGACATGGCTCTGTGGTAGAGCACTTACCTAGCAGGCCCAGGGCTGAGGGAGCCCCGGCACCAGAAAATAAATAAAAGAAGGGGAAGAAGGGGGAAAGGGGGGGAGGAGGGGGGAGGGAGGAGGGAGGGGAAGGTGGAAAGGAAGGACAGAGGGAAGGAGGGGGCAAGGAGGGATGGAGAGGGGAAGAGAGAAGGAGGGAGGTGGGGGTGGGGAGGAAGGAATGAAGGAAGGAAGGAAGGAAGGAGGGAGGGAGAGAGGGAGGGAGGGAGGAAAGAAATTTAAAATCCAAATTGTTGGTTGCTTAAGTCCCTTAGAAGCAGCACCTTAGAGGCAGGGCAAGCCCTCTGGGCTAGAGAGCAAATCCAGACTCTTCTGTCCTGTGACTTGTGACTGACACAGGAAGCTGAGGGAAGCCATTCCTGACCAAAATGTCATGTTCCTGCCGCTCCCCGTGTCTGCAGTCTCACCCACCACACAGGCAGTGACCACCCAGGACAGGGATATCCTCCCTTCCCGAGTCCTGGTGGGTGATTAATGCACCCATAACGACAGCCAAACTGCAGCTGTGTGTGCACGTGTGCGCACATGTGTGAGTGTGTGTGCATGTATGTGGGTATGTGTGTGTGTAAATGCATGTGTATGCATCTGCAGGATGTCAGAGCCTTTGTCTCTCCGCAGCCTCTGCTGCATGTAAGAGAAGGCCAAGGCCGGGAACAGGGAGCTTGAGACTGAGCTCAGGGGACTGGGGCAGGCTGCAGGCTGCGCCAGCGCCCCAAGCAGAGTCCATGCTCGCAGGTGTCGCTAGCAGAGCGAAGGTCTTGCCTGCTCAGGCTTTCTTCTCGGACATTCCATGTGGAACCCTTTGGGGGTGCTTCTGAACCCGGGACTAGGTTCTGTTTACTGCTGAGACGTGGACCTGGCTTTGGCTCTCCAGATCCTTTGATGGTCTCTCATAGTTCTGTGATACCTGAGGGCATCTGATCACTTTGGGCTGCACACAGATGATGATCTCCTAAGATTAGAGTGAAGCCAAAGTTCCCGTGACTTAGTGCAGCTACCACGACCTCAGTGCCCCGTGTTTGTGGTGATGCTGATGAGAACAGACCTCTCTGCGGCCTGTCAGATAAAACACAGCTTATGTCGCCACAGACGGTGTGTGATACCCCTCAGGAGTAAGACGAGCTTCCAGCAGCTTATCACACTGTGCCTGCAATCACTGCTCCTGATTATTAAGAGGACATGTCCTGTCATATGTAGTCACGTGTAACCCAGAACAGCCTCACAAGACTCATGTTCCGAGTTGAGGCTGCACTAAGCGACCGACCCCTCCCAACCAGATGTGTGTGAGCAGTTCTGTGACTTCACCTGACAGCTGGGTGTGGCGGTGCAGGGCTGTAATCCAGCACTTGGGAGGCAGGAGGATTGCCATGAATTCCCGGACAACCTGGGGTACAGAAGGAGACTCTGTCTCAAACAAAACATAACGAAAATTTTAAAAAACCAAACCAACCTAACAAAGGGAGCTGGGTGTGATGTCCCACACCTGTAATCCCAGCACTTGGGAGGTGGAGGCAGGAAAACCAGGAGTTCAAGGTCATCTTCAGATTTGCAAGCGAGTCTGAAGCCAGCAGGGCTGCATAAGACACCGTCTAAAAGACAACCAACCAACCAACCAACCACCCCTGAATTCCCTGACAATGCATTTCTCCAGACAGACCCCGTTGTGCAGAAGCTTCAAACCAGGTTCCCACAACGAGTGACTCAGGCAGATGAGACGTCTCTCCTTGTAACGTTGGAGGTCAAAGCCCTGGTTGGTCTACGGCCGGGTGCACGGTAATCCTCCACTCACCCCAAAGCTGCTGTGCAGCCGAGGGTCTGACCAGTGATGAAGGCTCTGTGGCATTGTGGGAGAATCATGGTTCTAGAAGTCTCAGTTTGTTGGGAACCCAACGAAGTCTGCCCCCAGGCCCTTCTAGGCCCCTCTGTCTGGGGCTTTTAAAACATCTTCCTGGTCTAGCTGTTTGGTGTTTTGGCGTCCTCGTGGATCTGGGAGTGGGGTCCGGCAGCTTTGTCTTCTCCCAGGACTTCCTCTTTGTGGGGGTGTCGTGAGGAGGGTCCTGGAGTGCCCTGCTTTAGCGTTCCTGTCTGTGACACACAGGGTATGAGCAGGCCAGGGCAAGGTGCGTGTGTGTGTGCGTGTGCGTGTGCGTGTGCGTGTGTGTGTGCGTGTGTGTGTGTGTGCGTGTGCGTGTGTGTGTGTGTGTGATTCCTCATTCCTTGTCTGCCATGTTTTTTTTCAGTTTGTCTTTATGTACTCATTTTATGTGTACCAGTGTTTTGTCTGCATGTGTGTAAATGTAAAAGCCCAAGGAAGCCCACATGTGGTGGTGCTCGGCTTTAATCCCAGCACTCCGGAGGCAGAGGCAGGCAGACCTCTGTGAGCGCAAGTCTATCCTGGTCTACATAGTGAGTTCTACGCCAGCTGGGGCTGCAGGGAGACCCTGTCTCAAAACACACAACAAAAGTCCAAGGAGACCAGAAAGAGGGTGTGGGAGCCCCTGGAGTTAGGGCGGCTGTGGGCTGCCATGCGGGTGCTGGGAACTGAACCCAGGCCCTCCGGAAAAGCAGCCGGTGCTCTTTCCTACTGAGCCGAGTCTTTAGCCCCAACCCCACCACCTTGTTTTCTGAGACAGGGCCTCTCACTTGATCTGGACTGCATAGATTAGGCTGGGCTGGGTGGCCAACAAGCCCCAGGGACCGGCCTGTCTCCACCTCCCCAGTGCGGATCTGCTCCCCAGGACGGGGACTACAGGCAGGCACCACCACCACAAAGCCTTTTTCATATGAGCGCTGGGAATCAAACTCAGCTCCTCATGCTTGAAGGGCACGCACTTTACCACCTGAGCCATCTCTCCAGCTTCTAAATATGCGTTCCTTGTCATCCATCACAACAACACAGGGCCTGGAGTCAGGAGGACTGTGGGGTGTCCAAGGGAAGGTGTTAGCCGGTTATGGCAGGTTGTGGCGGGCCATGGCAGACCGCTGTCCCTGTCAAGGGCATGTGGCTGGGGAAGCCGCACATTTCAAAGTCGTTGCTTTTCAAAGTTCTTCTGTGAATCTTATTTGGGATTCAGGCTCTGGGTTCCCATAGAAACAGGGAAATCGAAGTTGTATTTCTAGATGAGGGGCAGGAGCCCG